ATGTTTAAACATCTAAATGTCTTAATATATAAAAATGTCTACATGCCCCAACCTTCTAACACTCCTTAGAGAAAATCTTCTATTTTTAAATACTCAGTATTCATTGGAAATAAATTATACTATAATATATACATGCATATCTGTCTAACTGTCTGTCTATCTCCTAGCGAATGGCTATGTCTCCAATTTATTTTAGATATTCTTTGGGACTATGCATAACATAAGAAAAAGCTAGTCTAATCTTCAGGTGTTTCCTAATGTCTAAAGGTCTAATGCTTTGTTTCTACTGGACCAAGCAGAGGCTTATGGGTAGTAGTAGTACCTCTCCCCTTTTATTGGTCCTTAGTCAGAACTCCTCTTGTTCTTCTGTAGTCAGAAGCATGTTTCATTTGATCCTGAGGTAGTGTCCCAGCATGATGTCCAACAGCTATCAATTGCCTTCTTCTTCATTAATTCTAAAACTAAGCTGGTGGCTCTCACCATAGCACTGCTTTATTATGCACTATGTGAAGTTGTACTTGCTTTTGTAGGATCTAAATCTGTTATCATTTAGCTTCATTTAAATGTGTTTATGTCATTTCTGTGGTGCCACTAAGCAGTGTACAGCAAGAAAGAAAAGGTTAAAAATTGTGGACCATTAAAAAAGCAATATATAGTGCAGTGACACTAATCAAAAAGGGTAGATCTCAAAACATAACATCCACCTAATGCCGTACCTCAAAGCTAAGTTTTCATTTCTTTATGGAAACTTATTAGGATACAACAGTGTTTCTCAACCTTGGCAGCTTTAAGATGTGTGAACTTCAACTCCCAGAATTCAGTTGCTGGCTAGGGAATTCTGGGAGTTGAAGTCTGCATGACTTAAAGCTGCCAAGGCTGAGAAACACTGAGCTAAAAATATGTCTTACATGTGAGGGAAATTATGTAATTATGTAAGAGGGAGGAAATGGGTAAATTCAACATGCAACCATGGGCTGAGAAATTTAACCTTTTAATATAATGTACGTAATGTAGGGATTGCTTTAGACATTGCAGTGTTCATCACAAATGCTGGAAAGGAAGGGATCTTTACATATGCAAAATAAAGCTGTTGAATATACTTGAAAAAAGGGGCATTTGCAAAGAAGGTTGGACCTCTCTTTAAAACATTAAAGTAGCCACATCCTCCAGAAGGCTGGACATGGCTGCTTTGAAAGCTTTTCCCATGCCCAGCCAAGGTTTGTGTGCAAGCACAGGGAAAATGCTTTTGCTGGGACAGCCAGCAAAATAAAACAATGATACTATAATTACTTAAAGGAGGGTTGTTTCAGTTGCACAGTGCACTTTGCAAAGTGCCCTTTTGGGATGCTTTGCATATCTGGAAAATGAAAGTACGCTGAGAAACTTCATGCACTTCAGAATTACACTCTCAGGATTTTGGATCACAGACATGCTTTTGTGTGGACACAAAATTATGTTGAGTTACAGTATCTAACAGTGATGCATTATAGAATTGTATACATTCTATTGGTGTGTAAATGTACCTATAGCAATATTGGTGGATTTTTCACAGCAGCTGAATCTTTGTATCTATTGAGCAATAACCCAAATCTCATATCTGATCATTCATCGCATTCTGAGATACCCAGCAATGGGTTAATATTTTGGGTAGAATTTTACCCAATTTTAGGACTTTTCATATCCCTATTATTTTTCCTTTGGGATCCCCACTTTTTATTTTATTTGTTTGTTTGTTTGTTCAATTTGTATAGCCACCCATCTCAACAAGTGACTCTGGGAAGCTAACAAAATTAAAATCAAATAAAAACAATTACAACAATGCAAAATTAAAATACATAGTAGTCAAGAAATATCATACCCCATAATCACAAGCACAATCAAGAAATGGGTCCCTGCGTACACTCAGGGCCCCAGACCCGGGCACATCATTGTATCATTCTGTGCTGGGATTGTCAGTTGTGCATGCACACTCACATGCAGACAGCACGGTGTAGCTTTGCCAGCCTTCCAAAAGATACAGCTTCCTTAACACTTCAAGGAAGGGTGCTTGGCTTGCACTAACATTTTATTTATTTATTTATTTATTTGTTTGTTTGTTTGTTTGTTTGTTTGGCTTGTATGCTGCCCATCTCCCCCACGGGTGACTCTGGG